TTTTTTGCTCTTCCCAGGCTCCAGAACCTCTCTAGAAGCCTGAGGAGGGTGAAAACAGCCTTCCCCATCCCCCAGAGGTCCTCCGGAGGCCAGAAATGGCCCGTTTGCCAACTTCCAGAAGTCGGCAAACAGGCTGTTTCTGGCCTCCAGAGGGCCTCCGAGGGGTGGGTGGGGAAGGCCATTTTCACCCTCCCCAGGCTCCTATGCGTGCCAAAAGCATGGGGAGATTGCGTGCCAAAAGCATGGGAGCATTGGGTGTCATGCACACATGGGCAGGGCACATAGAATTATGGGTGTGGGCATGCACACGTGCGACCCTACCCCCACACTCACCCTGCTTTTGGCACATGATGGCAAAAAGGTTAGCCATCACTGTACTAGAAGAAGCAATAAATCACTAATGAAGAAATGCCCAGAGACTGATTGCTGAAATATTCTGGATCTCAATGTACCTCTTTACTTTCTAATAAAGAAAGTGTTTGTATGTTTTTCTTCTTCACAAATATTTTGCTATGTGTGAAGATAAGTGTGATATTACTACTATATATTTTTCATCTTTGCATTTAATCTTGTTTTAATCTACAAAATACTTTTTTAAAAAAATGAAGCTTCAGAATAAATCTTCCTCTACAGATGAAAAGGGATGGAAAGGAACAAGTTAAGCTTTGCAATCATTCTTGATTTGAACCTGGTAGTTCCTGCCTGTTAAATCAGAGTGATTCTGCCAAATTGGTCTCATTCTTCAACCAACAGAGTCCTGGCATAAATAATTGGCTCTTGAACCTGAAGGCTGGGAGAAAATGAGAGCTATTTCATGATCTCTTTATTCTTCCTGGTTTCTGTAGTTGAATGGCAATGCAATTGCTTTGAAAACCACTGGGCTAGATGGACAAATGATCTGACATATTCCTGATAGTATTTGTATTCCTGAGGATGTTCCTATTACAGTGGTTCATTATAGAGAAGTAGAAGAACTGCATTCTAGCACTGGCTGGAAACATTCATAATGAAAAACTCACTGGTCAGGCCTATTCTGTTTCTTCTGACTGACAGGAGGTTTGTGGGACAAGTTTTACTTCCTCTGTTCTTGTCCTGTATGCTGGGATAGTTTTTTCTTATAATCCCCTCCCTTGAAGTACTTGTAAGTCCCACTTACTTCAGAAGCTTGCTCAAACATTTTTTTTCCCCCAGAAGATATGAGAATTTCAATTCATCTACAGAATCAAACCTCTAAAGTCTTTTTACTGACTTGCTGTGGCACCTTGCCTATTGCTGTTCTGGAAGGAAAATTCAAGAGTCTCTTGTAATGATTAATTATGCCATCACAGATCAAATGTAATGGACTCCTTAAGCTGTGTTTTATTATATTGCCTCTTTTATCGAGATATTAGAAATATTGCATCTCTTTTAGTGGACTTCTCAGGATATATAGATCATTTTGATATTCAATATGAGCAGTATAACTCCACATTCTTGGCAGTGGCCAAAGTCTTCCTGTCCCTTTTGGATATCTAACATATTCAGGCTCTGTCCAGAGGATCAAATATACTATTTTCAACATCTTTTGCTTTCTCATAATGGCTGTATGCTACAACATTTTGAATAATAATACTTCACATTTGGATGGTGTTTTCAAAATCCTTCATATACATTAAGTACTAATAACCTTTGTTATAACAACCCTATCAGGTTATTGTAAACAAACAATGTTTATCCCCAATAAAGACAGTAATGTGTGTTATATTTCAGATCAAAACAAATCATTATTATCATCAAAGACTAGCTTACACATTCTATTTTCATTACTTTGGACTACTGTAATGTTTTCTGTACGAGTTTACCTTTGAAAAATTTGACTGATCCAGAATGCCATCACTACAACACAGATTGGAGGTGAATTTATTTATTATTTATTAATATTTATAAAATACATATGTACATAGATAAATAAAATTTATTGGTCACCCATCTTACCACAGTTGATTTACACTCATAAAAATCTATCTATCCATATACATTAAAACATAAATAAAACCAACCAGTAAAATCTAGTTGCACAAGGGGAGAGCAGGGACAGAGTGGGGGCCGGGGGGAGGTGGGATCTGTGGTTACAGATTGATTATTGGGAATATGTGACTCCTTTATTTTAATAACTTAAAAAAAAAACCTTCAAAAAACCTGCAGAAAGTCTTCAATTGAAAAAGCTGATGTGATCTATAACAATCTATCAGAATGCTACACAGTCCACCATTCCTTAAGCTCTCAGAGAGAGAAAAGAAAAACATATAAATGTTGCATTACATCATGCACCCATGTAGGAGGTTTCACACGACTTCTACCTTTTTCTATTTTTTTCCTGATTTTTCAGAATGAATATCCCCAGTGGTCAATCTAACTATGACTAAATATAGAACTTGAACTGAATTGTTTGAATCAACCCCCTTTTCAAGAGCGCTTGGTTTTCAGTCTCTTCAGATTCCATAACTGAGTGTAGGTTGGTGGAAATTAGAGAGCAATCTTAGCTAATAGTTCCACTAATTCTTGACCTACCAACGCCCCACCCCACTTCCTGCCAGTATGAGGCCAAAATGTACAGTAAATACGTTTTGATTGCCCAGTTAAAAAGGGTTTTTTTGTGTGTGTTTCTTCACACAAAACATCATCATAATATTTGATGTTGTATTCAAATGTATTATTTTATTTTATTTTTATTTATTTATTTATTTTATTTGATTTGTATACCGCCCTTCTCCAGCAGGACTCAGGGCGGTGAACAGCTGAGATAAAACAGAGCATACAAAATTTAAAAAACAGTTTATAAGGTAATTAAATAATTTCGGCCCAAAATTTAAAACAACCCAATTAAAACCAATTTCAAATTAAAACCGAAACGGATGGGATCAAGCCAGCCCAGCTAGGTGAAATAAATGAGTTTTCAGGGCCCGACGAAAAGTCCAGAGGTCTGGTATCGTGCATATCTCTAGGGGGAGGTCATTCCAGAGGGCGGGTGCCGCCACAGAGAAGGCTCTCCCCCTGGGGGTCACCAGCCGACATTGTCTGGCGGATGGCACCCTGAGGAGGCCCTCTCTGTGCAAGCGTACTGGCCGGTGGGAGGCTATTTGCAGCAGAAGTCGGTCTCGTAGATACCCCGTAGAATATTAATTCGAGGAGGTGAGGCAGAAAAGCAGGGTTAAAAATCCCATAAATAATATTCAAGTAGGAAGGCTGAAGTTGAGAGACAATGACTTGCTTTGGGCCATCTAGCAAATTTGTGCTGAAAGCATGTTATGCACCAGTGATTCCCTGATCAACAGCTTTGACTCGTTTCCTTTATTATAAAATTAATACTTTCAGACTACTTTCTGTTAAATAATGAACTAAAGACTCAGGAAACAGGGTTTTTTTTTCACCAGGAGACACCGAGATTGGGCTTCCAGCTGAGTTCAGAGACGAGTCCCCATCTCCTTCTCAGAAAGTGTCACATGTTTCAAATACTTTTGTTCAGATTCAGTTCGTTCCTAATGATTCTATCCAAACTTTAGAGTGTTTTGACTCTGATTTGCTAAGAGTTCAGATACTCAGAACATACACAAGAACATGACTGACACATTCACTGCCGCCATCAGTGTAGTCTCTCAGTCATTGATGTTTGCTACTTTATTTCATTTTTCTGACAGTGATGCTTCACATTTGCTTTGATGGTTCTTCTTCATTAATGATGCTCAGAAAGCATACCTACCTTGTTAGATCTCACATTTCCTTTCATCTACCATCAAAACAAAATAAGAAAAGATATCTTCTGGCATATATTCTGAAAGGCAGGTTAGGCTAACTTTCATATTTAGTTTGCCAACAGAAATTTTCAGAGTGGTTGTTGATTTTTTTTTTTGTATACAATTTCAATATTAACATATTAATAAGTGCAATTTTTAAAGTATTGACCATTTCAGAAAGCTACAAACTAATGCAAGCTAATGCAAAGTAAAGAAGAAAAAAGAAAACTCAAAAAAGAAGCAAAAAGTGCAAGAAAAGAAAAAAGTCTGAAGTAAAAGAGAAAAAAAAAAAGAAATAAGAAATGAAGAAGTAGCTTCCAATATTCTTCACAATACTTTTAAGTACAAATATATTTCAACCTCTCTCTCTAAAGTTACTTCATATTGCTCTTCTTTCCATCATCTATCCTATCTAATCATCAAAATCATAAATCACAAGTTCATTTTTTTCCTCATTTTTACGCAAAAAGTCCATAAGAGGCAGAATGCTTCTCGATGACGGCTGACACATTCAAAGAAGCTATCTGACTGCCAGGAAAAATGGCATCTAAAATTTAAAACATGTCTGCCTGGATGAAATACTGGTAGCAAAAATCTTTTAAGAGTGACTGTTTCATAAATATTGAATAAAACATAATCACTTTTAGAATATTATTCAGTTGTAATTCAATGATCCTCATTTTCAGCTGGTGAAATAGAGGTATTAATTAATGTTATATCCTGAACTATTTTAATCAGTAAGATATTTGACACTGTATTGTATCTAAAAGAGGCTGAACTTCTGCTATGCAACAGCTCCATTAATCTTTTCCCTCTTACAGCTATGACTGTTAAGAGGGAAACAAATCCAGTAATTAAATGAATAAGGGCATGTTTCTAACCTTTCCAAAATCCAATCCAATTTAAAGCTGACCAGTAGCATATCCTTAATCTTTAGAGCAGGGCTATCAAACTCCCATGGGCTCGTGGGCAGGATGCGTCATGCGCTGGCCATGCCCATGCCCAGTTTAGCAAAGGGGGGGGAAAGTCCCGATATGTCATGTGACGCAACTGTGATGACATGAGTTTGACACTCTGCTTTAGAACAATACAGTGTACACCTTGCATTTAGAGTTTTTTTTTAAGAGGTTTTTTTAGTAGGAATGTATGAATACTATGACTCTTTTTTATTAAAACTATGTGAAGATTTGGAAATGAAATATAGAAAAACAAATGATACTTCAAAAGGATTATTTCTCTTTTCTTCATCAGAGAAAAAAGTTGGAGCCAGCCCTGTCAAGGTCATGAAGTCCATTTTAATCTTCTCCACCTCCCTGGGTAGCCAACTGTTCCAAATATTTGCAGAAGAACTCTGGACAGCATGAATTGTTGCAAGCCTGAGCAGTAAGCATGAGAATACATAAGCACTCTCCCCTGCATGACTCTATGGGGCTTCTTTCCAATCTATAGAAAGGGAGGAAGACAATTTCTTTATTTAGAATTATTTTTGTATCATTTCAGTCATTCAACTATAAGTAAAAAAAATATATCATAGGAATAAAATAAAGAGAGGAGGCATAACACAATGATAAGCTATAGCAAATCCATAACAAGAATGATTCATGCCACTGTATATTCTGCTACTCACATCTCAGTTCCCAAAAGTTCTTTGAAAAAGTCAGGTCTTAAGCAGATTTCTGAATATCAGACATGAAGATGCAGATCTTATTTTTGGTGCAGGACGTTATTGCATAGGAGAGGACCTAATAATGCAGTACCCTGAATTTTATCTTTCTACACTCTGGCAAAGGGTAGGACCAGAGGTGGGTTTCAGCAGGTTCTGACCAGTTCTAGAGAACTGGTAGTGGAAATTTTGAGTAGTTCGAAGAACCGGTAAATACCACCTCTGACTGGCCCCATTCCCATCTATTCTCTGCCTCCGAAATCCCAGCTGATTGGGAAGAAATGGGGATTTTGCAGTAACCTTCTCCTGGAGTGGGGAGGGAATGGAGATTTAACAGTATCCTTCTCCTGCCACACCCACCAAGCCATGCCACGCCCACCAAGCCATACCCACAGAACCGGTAGTAAAAAATTTTGAAATTTTTTTGAACTCCACAACATAGACTCTTTGCAGACGTACGTCGGGCAAAGAGATTCTCCTTGGATTAAGTAATTTTACAGATAACAAGGGTCCAAATTTTATATGACATTGAAAATGATAACTAGTACTTTGAATTGCACCCAGAAACAGATCAGCAATTAGTGCAATTTCTCTAGTCCTGGTATTATATAGAGAGAATAAGGGAGATAACCTTGACAGAAATGTGCAAGCACCATTATCTAGGCAAAAAGAGCTGAAGTCCCATTCTTGAAGTCCTGGTTAACAAGATACGTGGAAACAGATATTACAGATGTTTCCCTGATTCACTGTGTTATAGGAGGTGAGGTGATAAAACACAATCAGACTTGCAAGTGTTACTTGTTACTGTTACTATAACCTATTTCAACAAAGTCTAATTCTAGACATTCTATGGAATTGATTTCCTGATCTGGCCTAGGGGCTGACATCCATCTTGCAAGTCTGTGGTTCATCCCCCTTTGACAGGATCTTGTTATTCAGATTATCACATGGGCTAAAACATTTTGCACTAGCTAGGGTTTCCTGACAGGCTTTGAGGGCAGTCCTATATAGGCAGAGTTATAGTAATTCAAGTGTGAGGCTATAAAGCTATGAGTGACCATTGCCATTGCCTCCAGCTCAAAGAAAGACTACAAGTGGACAAAATCCTTCTTGGACTATCTGATTTCCACTGGAAAGAGCTGAAAAGCCAGGTGAACTTTTAATGGCTCTTTCTTGGGAAGCACAACCCAATCAAGAGCTATACTTGGCATAGTTCTAAAATGAATTGGCTTCTGTCTTAATAGATATTTTATCTTGTTTGCAACCTGTTTCTCCTTGCCCAGACATTGAGTCAAGACATCTGACTGCAAAAGATCCCAAAATCCTGTTTTGATTATTCCTTTGCAGGAGTTAACTTACTACTTAGTTAACCTACTACTTTCTCAATAACTACCCTTATAAAGGGAAGGTTAATGTAATGGTAGACAAGGGAATTGCCACAGCCAGGGCTGATGGTTAAATAAAAGGCAATGATAATAAGGCAACATAGTCAAATAAGAGGCAATATAGCCTGCAAAGGGGATGTGACTATGGCAAATATCTTAAAAGGAACTCTCTTTAGTTTCTGGCTATAAAAGTGACAGAAGAAAAATGTACTTTCAGACATGCAAAATTCTGTTAATTTAACCTTACAGTAAAGTAGTATTCATTCACCTGGGTGCATTCTCTCTATGGACTATCTCAGAAGGACCACAGTTGGAGACTCTATAGTCATTGTCCAGTAGAATGGGTCCAAAGTCAGCACCTTAAGGCAAGGTGCTTCTACTCATTTTAAGGACACCATCACCTCCTTTCTCTGCAGTGAGACATTTTGTGAACCCATTTTTCTCCCTATTCCTTTCCTTGATAGCCTATAAAAGCCAGTTGGGGGAGAAAGGTAGTGGTATACTAAATTGTCAGATCCACTCACTCCTTCAAGTAATCTGATAGTCTAAGAAGACAACAACTTAGTGAAAATTGTAAATATAAGGTCCCAAAGGTGCTTTTTTTCTGAAAAGGCAACTGGACTTTCTGGGTTTTTTTCTATGAAGATGTTTCGCTTCTCATCCAAGAAGCTTCTTCAGCTCTGAAGAAGAGCTGAAGAAGTGCTGAAAAAGCTTCTTGGATGAGAAGCGAAATATGTTCAAAGAAAAACCCAGGAAGTCCAGTTGCCTCATGAGAAAAAAAAAACACCTTTGGGACAACCATGACCTGGATGACTGGGAATCTCCATAGACATCTGTCAACATAAGGTTAATTTTCAAGAAAGGGGACTTATTTGAAAGAAACAAGTGGTATAATTACTGTGGGATTAGCCTGTTATTAATTATGGACAAAATATTTATGAAAGTGATCCATCAAAAAGCTTCAGAAAAGAGCCACTAGTCCAAGAGGGACAAGCTTGTTTCTAGCCTGGAAAAGCATGCTGTGATAAAATATTTTTACAGCAACAATTGCTTGAAGATTGCATCAAGAGGCATATTGCTATGACTTTGAAGCAGCATTTGTAGTATCTATCAACCAATTTGGTGGGAGACATTTGAAGTTGAAAGTGTGACTGCTAAACCAGTTTGCCTCCTACAACCTGTGTACAAAGGATACAAAGTTTTGTTTGTGTTATTTCATGGCTGAAATAACTTTTCTGTATGTATAGTCACGAGGCAAGGCAGTGTTCAATCTGCCTCTCTATTCAACATTGTCATCAAAGCAGCCATGAAAAAAATCTTTGCTAGTTGTATGGTGTCAAATATGAACAAGATGAATTCATCACATATCTCATGTTTGCTAATGGTTGTGAGATTTTTTGTGGGGGGGGGGCTTTGGGAGGGTGTTGTTATTGTTATTTTGCAGAAAATGAAAGAGAAGTCTCTGACAACTTATCTGATATAAAAGTTATCCATATGACTTATCCATTAATACAGACAAGATCAAATATTCACAATGATGGCTCTCAAGTAACTGCACTTTGATGGAGATCACTTTGAGCAACAAATATCTTGGCTCAATTGTCCAATTTAAAAAAAAATAGCTGCCACATCTATTATCAACAATTGAATTGTCCAGACCACTTCAGCCTTCAGAGTACTGACATGATGCTTCTAATGGGGGAGGGGGGAGGGAAATAGCAGAAGCATTGCTACCACAATGTATATCTGTCAATTATGAATGCTACTGATGCTGCTGTATGATGCATAATCTTGGACCTTACTTCCAAATAAGTTGAAAAATGTTTCCATATGTGCCTATAATAATAACTTTATTGTCTTTGTACGTATATACACAATATACCCATACAATGAAATTCACTTAACATCCAAAGACCAGGTCCAACACACATAACAATCCCCAAACACACCCCCACCCACCACAAATTCCCCACCCCATACCACCCAAACATCCACTCAACAGACCAAGTAATGCTATCTAACAGCTCACTGATGGTGGCCCTTTAGTTCATTGTTGAGTGCAATTATAGCTCTGGGATAAAAACTATTCAGAAAACGTGTGGTCCGAGTTTTAATTGTTCTGTATCTTCTGCCAGAAGGCAACAATACCTATAATTATAGTATAGTAACCATACCAAATTTTAGGGATTTCCTTCTATGACAAATGATGACATAATTAAAGGACAGTGCTGCAATGAATTTATTGGCAGTTGAAGACGATCAGAAACATTTAATTAAGTGGTTTGGGCACATCTGCCACGTAGGGCTCGTGCGAATTTTCTTACTGAATACTTAGACATTGTAGGTTCAAAGAAAATTTCCCTATAGTACATGTGAAATCTAGTGAAACTTAGACTCAGTGAAATACAAGCTAAGCAACTGGTCCCCAAAAAATAAAGGTATGCAACATGTCATCTGTAGACCACAGCACAGATAGTTGTATACTGGTTATTCCATAGGTCATTGCAAGATCCATTAAGGACTTCACATTATAGCCAAACTTTGGATTTTGCACCCATGTATAGTTGGATTTCCTTCTTTCTTTCTGTCAGTGTTGCATTCTTCCAGTGCTTCGATTCAGACAACTCCTCAGAAAACCAAGGAAATTCTCCTCCACATCATCCATCTTACCCAGTAGTATGGATTTGAAGTGAGCCTTTTATAACCAGAAAGTGATCTCTCCTCAACCCTCCCAAAATTAGTTCTCATCTGCCCCAACAGAAACCTCATCTTGACCCTCTCCTGGCCACCCCTTCTGATGTCAGTAGTCAGTGTCCCCCAAGGCAGAATGCAGTTTTCATGTAAATATGACCAACCTAAGGAAATTTACATTAGATTTTTTTTTTCTTTTCTTCTTTCTTGATCATATCAACTATTTGTTTATTCCGCTTTCAAAGCCCTGAGGAATATTTCGTGAATGAAATAGAGTTCATAGCCCCATTTCTCTTCACTCCTAACTGTCCATTTTCAATTTTCCCTTCCCCAATTGGTATCTGAGGGACTCTGTTTCTATAGATCTGCCACTAGTTACAAAAGGCTATAATTGTGAGAGCTCATTTTGTACCTGATAAGAAGTCTATTATCTGGTTCCAATACAAACAATAGGTGCCGACTACTCTGTCTTACAAAAAAAAAAAAAAAATCCTCTTTTTCTTTATATCCAAAAGTATATAAAAAAAATAGAATCTTGCTCCCTTATGTTGCAAATATCAATATAAATAATGTAGGTTTCTCATTTGAAAGTCAGAATTCTCCAAGGAGTTCCTACGTTAATGTTGTTTTTATTAAATATTATTAATTAGAGTTGTGAGAGACACTGTTTGGATTAAATTGATTGCTACAAAGGAATCTGACAG